TTTAAAAAACTTTTAATTAGGTGAAAACCAAGGGAACCTTCAGGGTTGGTTTTCACCAGAACTGTGCCAGTATGATATATCCAATAAAACTATTCTTTGAGGAATCTACCTGCCTCAGAGTTTTGCTTGCTAGGGATGTATTACTTGGAACCCTGACTCAAAGTAGTAGAAGACCTTCTCAAGTTTGAAGAAAGATGTGGGAAGGGGGAAATAGGAAATTTTTCTACCTATGGATATAATTTTTAATGTACTGGTGGCCTGATGTAAGTATGTGGAACCCTAATGTAATAGTGTGTGGGAATGACTTTGGGAGATGGAGGAAAAGAGATGCTGATAAGGAACAATCAAATAAGAAAGTGCACAGTTGGCAAGTGCGTAAGGGGCGGAGAAAGAAACTCAAAAAGGAAGCTGCTTAACTTATCAGGCTGTAAAAGAGACGACAGGAGATTTGTACTTTCCGACTTACAAGATTCAGTTAACGTAGCCTTACAATAAAGTACAATTAGCTCATCTGGCCGTGTTTCATGTCTGGTTACCTGGGAAGGCTTGATGCCTGCTCTCAAAATTAAATGGGGCCCTCTAGCCTCAAAGGATTGTATATCCCTTGGTGAGCATTTGAGAATCTCTCTTTCAAAAGGCAGCTTGAAAGCAGCTCAAGACTAAATAATTGAACTGTTTTCTGAAATTGCAGTGCCTACAGTTTCACTCAAGGACAATAAAATGCAATTCGTATTGAGTCCTTAGCCTAATTATGGGGTAAGAAAATGTGGCTCATGAATCTTCTGACCTTGAGTCTTTTTCTAAATCTACACTATGATTATATTCACTGATAATACTTCTGCTGTTGATTGCATAGAGTTAAAAATACTAGCAAAACGTTTGAAAATTCAAATAAGGGAAGAAAAATCAAATTAATTATTCCACAATCAAATTTAAATCCTCTAATTAAGCCTTATCATTTTCCACCCATTTGTAATGGGAAAATAAAAAACCGGATATGTTTATTTCATAGTGAGGAAATTATTGTGTTAAAGCCAACTTCCTCAAAGTTGACTTTGCATACCTTTTTTGCAAATTAACATTATAATGCTATGGAGAGAGAGAAAGATAAGTGCCAACGTTTAATTTCTTTGCAAATTAATGAGTTGTAGTTCTAACCAATTATCAAGGTGAGGTAAAATGGAACAAATAAAAACAAACAGGAAAATCTGTGAATAAAATGCATTAAAAAAAACTAATGATGAATATAAAATAGGGAAGAGCAAAAACAGAAAACTGGTATTTATGTAAAAGAGATGAAAAGTCTGTCAGCAGAGAGCAAAGTAAGCCAGGAGATTCGTTTTTAAAAGGTCCCTAAGGATTTACTGTGCAATGAAAAAGGAAATGCAAACCATTCCAGATGAAGAAGTCATGTTGATTTACAGCTCAAAAATCTAAAGTGGTCAATACCATCAGGAGGCTCAACTATAAAATCATTTTTAAAAAAATGAACAAGCTTTCAATTCCTTAGAACTATGTTCCTTTGTCAGGGGGAAGAAGTAGAAACAAAATTAAAGTATGCCAGTTGTGGCCAAAAAGTCTGCAGATTGAGATGAAAATGATTTTTTTTTCTTTATTTGTTCTTCTTTTGCCTCCTGTAAATTAGATATAGACCATACTTTTTATAAAATAAAGTGGAATATGTAATATTAATAATAGTGCTATTATTGAATAGTATCAATGTTATAAATAGATGTTACTAATGACACCTCTGCAGACAAACAATCAAGCTTAAAGAGCACCAAAGACTCAACAGTTCAACCTTGAGCTACAGATATTCTCCCCCCCCCCTTTTTTTGGAGGGGGGGTAGCATGCACTCGCACAGCAGTTAAAAAAATTAAATGCAGAACAGACAAAAGGAGCATGAGTATCGAAATATAAAAATACAAAGTTAATATATTAAAACTAGGTAGCTCTGAAACTCAGCAAAATTCAGAATACAAATGTACTTACAATAGATTAGCTCAAGCGTGGCAACTTTAAGCTATGAACTTCAACTCCCAGAATTCTCCAACTAGCAGCCAGCTGGAGAATTCTGGGAGTTCTTAAAGTTGCCAAGCTTGAAAATTGAAAGAAAGGGAATTGAAAGTTCTGTCTTGTTTTTAATGCATTTTTTATTTTCAGTATATTAATTTTCTGTTATCAATGGTCTTAATTCTTTACCATCATCTTAAAAATGTAAATGTAAATAAAGCTTATATGATGATTTATACACTGTATGGGTGAATCAATAAAAATGTGCATGTAAATTTATTAAAAACGTGTGTTCTTTTTTCCAGACATTTGTTTAATGCACTCGCAAATCAGGGTTAATTTATGTTATGTGGGCAACCCAGAATTTCTTCCAATGATTATTATACAGTCCCATCTCCCATTTAAATGAAAAGAAAGTGTTTAGTATGTAATGCCATACTAAACAAACAATATTCTTTTGTGTTAGTTTATTTCGAACTACCAGACATTGAAACCAAAATAAACATTTTCATATCCTATTTACAGGCTTAGCAGTTTCGCCACTACTGAATTGGGGAGGACAGAATTTATATCTGGCAAGGATTTTTTTTTTTTTTTGCTTGACACCTACAAGCGTTTTCCATTCTTGCACATCTTCCGAATGTTTTTATCCAATCTATCTGGGCAAAACATGGCATAGCAAATGGAGGCCTACAAAAAGGATGGGACACTGAAAGGAAGAATTGAAGAGTTCTTTGGGGATCACTCCAGAATTTCTGTTTGAAATATTAAAATTAGCAGAAATTAGTAGAAGGTTTAACCTGGACTCCACTTTTAAAAATAACGAGTTTTCAATAAAAATCAGAACAAGGAAATATTGCTTAGTCAAACCACCTCTGGGGAAAATGAGGTTACCACATGAGAACATTTTCATACTGTTTATTTATTATAAATGCCTGATATATGAGAGGCTTGCAGGTGCATTCTTGCTGTTCCAGTGTTTTCCATTTCCATGACAGGAAGGCACAAAAATATAGGTGCTCATGCCATCGCTCAATGACTGGAATAAAGCACAGGCAGGAAATCCCAGGACTCTTTTCAGAAGTTTTAATTTTGAAACATTCTGCAACGTTGATGCATTTTCTAAAGAATCTGTTTCAAATATTTACAAAAGCAACTTCCTTTCTCCTTGGGGAAATACACACACACAAAATTCACAACAATTCTTAGCAATAAACAATAATAATTATACTGTGTGGTGCATAACGTGGAGCTGGTGGCATATTTTCAAACAATCTCACTTTCCTCATTCATTGTCCCTCTCTCTGCCACACACAGATTCAAAAATTCAGTGGGAATGTTTTGCCCCCGTCTCTAATAATTCTTTTTCAAATAATCTACACGGACTGTGGCTTTGTCAGCCATCCCTTTCTTGCAACATTTCCTATTTTAACTTCTCGGTCTTGAAAAAGTCTTGTCACATTAACTTGAATGATTCTAATTAAGATTTCATTAACATTTACATCAGTTCATCAATGGATTAAGGAACAACTACACAAGTAGTGTATTAAAAGATGCTAATAGTGTAGTATCAAATATAAGCACAGCTCATTACAAGAGATAAACCAACTCATGTACAGAATGACTGCAGTTGTAACTGAATACCTTGGATACAAAATCAACAAAGGAGGAAAGAGCCATTGTGCACCACCAAAATGGAGGATCAGATTGGAAAATAAGATCAGTATGCCAAGATCAGATAAAAGCAAGATAGAAAAGATGAAAGAAAAGAAGCTAAGGACAAGAAGACCCAAGAATATCTGATCAAGAAATATTACCTAGAAACAAGACAGATGAAAGAAGCATTGGAACTAATAAAGCAGCAATTACCATCTACAGTCAGGTTTAGCAGATACAACGCTCAAACTGCACAGTGGATGCAGAATCTTTAATTTCAGTCAAGTCAGAAATGTTTCCACCAATCCATCAATGGAGACTGTAAAGAACCCATGTCAAAGAAGAAGCAGTGCAGTTCTGGGTCCAGCTATGGGACAACCCAAAATGATATACCAAGTATAAAACATGGAGATGGATTAAAAAAGCAGAAATTAAAGAACTAGTAATAATGGCAGAAATGGTGGAGAAAAGAGCAACGAAGATCAAATAAATACCTTTGGGCAAGAACATCAAATCCTGTCTAACCATCTGGCTGACCGTGCAGTGAACCTTAATATCTATCCCACTCCAAGGAACAGTATGTCATTGTGACCCAGGGCCTTGGATGCTCTAGTGATGCTCAGGGTTCTCCAAAGGAGCTTTTTCAAGGAAGATCTATTTTCTAGTTTTTTTTGGAGTATGCTTCGTTTCTCATCCAAGAAGCTTCTTCAGCTCTGAGCTGCATTTGGAAGCTTCCAATTTATTACTGAACTAGCTGATAACAGGGCATTGTCCGGGTATTCATTTATCCCAATCCTGTATTAGACAGGAATGTTGATGTCAAATGGCAACGTAAGTGCTGATTGGGCTGTCTGTCCTCCCTCCTTCCATTAATGTCGCCACAATTTCTAAAGAGGCAATGGAAAGAGCAATTTCTCCCTGAGCCCTGATTTCGGCAACAATTAAATTAGTTAAAATGTTTTCCATGCCCCCAGAAGCATCAAGAAAAATGATACCATCTTACTGTTTTGCTATCTGATGCAAGGTCATTTGGTATGCTTTTTTCTGATTTTGATTTAGAAGTGGCTTCTTGTCTGTGATATATGCACTAAGCTGTTCAACATTGTAGTTCTTTTCTCATATGTAATCTGCATGAACTACGCTGTGTCGGTCTCGTAGTGGTGCAGTAATGTTTCATTTATACAGCAACAGCAACATTCCTATACAACTCTTGTACATCCCAGTTTTTTATATAAGACTATTATTTGATAGTTCCACTTTTAACATAGCAATAGCAGTTAGACTTATATACCGCTTCATAGGGCTTTCAGCCCTCTCTAAGCGGTTTACAGAGTCAGCATATTGCCCCCAACAACAATCCAGGTCCTCATGTTTAACATGTTTAAACACTTAATTTTATTTTGGTATTTTCAGAATAATCAGATTATCATAATTCCTTTGGTTTGTTTAACAGAAATTTAACAAACTGTGCTAGGACTTCATCGTTAAAACCTTTCACATCATTATTTTCTATTGATTCATACAGGGGCTTACTTTCAGTCCCCCAACAAATGTTCCTTCTTGGATTATTTTGGTCAGCCTCAACAGTTAAAGCCAAGGTGTTTAACTGGTAACAAAAAAAGGCAATGTATCTTCCTTCGAAAATAACAGCCTGGGATACAAAGGGTCGAGTCACATCGTCTTCACTCCAGAATCCTGAAAAAGAAGAAAAGTCACTTAACTTAAATATTTTTCTACCAACAAAAAAATGAATTTTGAAAAACACTGCAAACTAGGGTCTCTGGCATATTGGACTGAAAGGCTAAAAAAATGTTTTAAGCAAACAGGGACATGATGGTAGAATACTCTACAATTTCTCAAAGCAGCTGCACATTCCCCGTGGATCACACAGCTGCTGCCACCTGCTGGTGCCAGTAAAAATGTATTTAACAAGCTGCAGATCCATTGATACAGCTTTCTGAATTTGAGGTGATCTAAATAAGTCATTCTGCAGTGCGAGATAATCACAGAGTACAAATTATTATTGTTGCTTCAAGGAGAAACAGCCTCAAAATTGGAAACCAGTTTTTGAATTGGAAGAAGTACACGTTCAAGGTATATTCCTGATTTCACAAACAGCCATTATGTGTTACAGATCAGCATAATTTATTTCTCCAACACATAGGACCAAGCTTAGGAATTCTTTTAGATGTCCAAATGCACAGATTAAAGCGTATAGTGACATAATTTTCTAAATGTTCAATTTGTAGATGAATTTAGCATTTTCTGGGATAACTATAAGGATTTGAATCACCTTGAATGGATGGCATAAATCAATAAAAGAGTACAGGTATGTTTATGTCTAAATACTGACAAGGATGGACAAAATGATTCCATTAAAAAACAACTATTTTGAGTTTGAAACAGATTGTTCTCACCTTAGTGGGAGCGTCTCAATTCTGCTCTGAACATTCTGATATAAGAAGAATGTAAGAAGCTTGAAGCATTTTCAATACAGTCAGAAGACTATCTGCTAACTTCCAATAAAGCTAGAACATGAGATTCTGGGATGGGAGTGAGAAAAATCTCAAGCTCAAACCAGGATATATCAAACTTAAACCATTCTGACATTTGATAATTTTTAAAATTACCTTGGCACATTGCTTGTGCTCCAGTCCACGCAAAGAGGCTTGCAACTGCATTGGCTCGATATGGAACATCAACCTGATCAGTGAGATTCAATTTTATCAGCCTTTCTCTTTTCACCCTGTCAGGAAGCAAATGAAATTGGGTGTGCCCATAGCAGCATGGATCTGATATTTGAGAACCTAAACCCAAAAAGAGATTATTTTAGATAATTTTCTATACAAGGTCAGAAAATCAAAAGCACAGCACAGTTGATAGCAGTTCCATATTTTGGTACATAGTTCAATTTTATAGTCGTGTATCTTCCAAAAACCATATTAACAAGCTCATAAATGTTAAATCACAAAGATATATAGAAAGATACAATGACACCTTTGCTCTGCCATCCATTAGCAGAGAAGGCTAAATTGGCTGCTTTAACTAAAGAAACTAACTTTGTTTCTACTTGGAAACTGCTTCTGGACTTTGTGCTTGTGTGGAAAAAAAGACGAAACTTTTGATTTTTTTTATTCTGCTGATTAAATAGGTTTGTTGTTATAGAAATGGCTAGTATATAGAATCATGCAAAAATAAAAAGTGGAGGCTGTAGAGGTAGTCCTTGACTTACAACAATTTGTTTAGTGACCAAAGTTACAACGGCACTGAAAAAAATGTATGACCATTTTTCACACATAAAACCATTGCAGCATTCCATGGTCATGTGATAAAAATTAATATGCTTGCCAACTGACTCATATTTATGACACTTGCTATGTCTTGGGGTCATGTTATCACCTTTTGCAAACTTCTGACAGAAACGTCAATGCCTTATTCTACCATGCAAAAAAGAGTTCTAAATCAATGCATTCCCCCTTTTAATTTTTCCTTTTTCCTCAACCACAATACTTTGTCATTATTTTCATTTTTCTTTATATTTTATAAAGTAATAAAATTTGGATTTTAAAAAAAGGTTCAATGACACAAGTCTTACCTATAAATATTTTGTTATCATATTGTCGTTTGAACAATGGAAGTTTGTCAGGTAAATACTGGATAACAGGAATATCTCCAGGGCCCAGGTAATCAAGAGGCTCAAACTTAAAGAAAGAACATCAGTTCAGTAAATGAAAATGATTTACAATTTGTTTCTTTCACCATAATGAAAGCACTTAAATAATGAATTCTGTCATCTCTTATTTGTTATTTTAATATTAATACCTGTTGGACTGCAGAAAGGTAAAAAGAGACAGAATTCCCTTTACTAGTTACATAGAATCATACTTGTAGCCATGTAGTACTTTTAAGATGTACTGGAATTAAAAACCCATAATTCCCAATGTTATCATCTTGACTGAAATTTCAGGAATTCCCAGAATTTCCTACCATCCCTACTATCAGTAGGGCAGCTACTGGAGAAAAACTAATGAGAAAGAAAAAAAATCATGATGTGTGCATCAGGTCAACAGAAGAAAGTGAGCCCATAAAAACATGTATAATGTTCTCTGCTCCTCTTGGCTCAGATTCTCCTTTCTGTAGTATATGACCTTAACTTTACCCACAATGAATTAGGAAATACCTTGAGCCACAAATGGATTCAACTTTGTTTCTGCCATTTGGATTACAATGGCATTCCACCCTCTCCTGATCAAGACTGCTGAGGTTCCCTGAGAGACACCAACAATTGTTGCTTACCATCTCTGCCCTTTTTGAAATTGTCATTCTCATGCACTCTAAAAACTACAAAATGTGAAAAACCTGAACAATGCTGGCCTCACCCACCCTTTTTCCCCATTAGACCCTAGGTTGGAATGTAAAAGACAGCAAGGAATCAGAAATACCTATATCCATCCCACTTTTTTCTACCACTGGTCAGCTGACAGGCCCTTATTCAAGCTGTGACAGTGCCTCTGTGAGACTAGAAATGCAGCTGCTCTTAGCCTGTTTCCTGCCCCAAAGCACAAAGCAACACTTTCTGCTCAACCTAAGGGATCACATATGGTGCTTGGCCAAGACATGCAAGCTGTTGTCCTCCTATTAGACCCTTTGTATGGGGAAGGAGTAGGAGGCGGTGCCACAAAATATAACCCTAGAATTTGTGACCCCAGTATAAACAAATATTCAAAATAGCAGAGACATCACAACAATAAAGATGAACTCTGAAGATACCATAGAGAGCCATGTGCCTTTATATAATGTGACTGCATTATGCACTATACACTAAACCTGGAATAAACAATGAGTATCATGGGTAGAATAAATATTTCTGGAAATGTTTTAAAGAAGGCATTTTGGGGTCCAAAATCCTCCCCACAAGGAAAACTATTCGCTACATGCCTTTGTAAGTTCCACTATGCTGACTATGCATCTTTACTTATAAGTGTGATTGCAATTTTTAATAAAATGTTGAGTGTTAATATGTTCACATATCGTAGTATGATTTATCTGTCATTTATTTTGAGGATGTGGAAAGTAAGCATTATGAAAGCTTAAATCAAACAATAAAAATACATGGTTCCAAAAAAAAAAGAGACATAGGAGATATTCTTATTTGCACACAAAATATCCTTTGGCAAACCTTGTTTATTGCAATATCACCTACATTTCTTCTACAGCCCACAAATGAATCAGTCTTAAGATGCCCTTAAGTACTCTGGTGTTAAAAAAAACATATTCTCCTTATTCTGGCACCAAAGAGCCTAAAATATTTAACATGTTAGGTTTGGACTAGAAGTCAGGTGACTAAAATGTTATAAGAGGTAACAGAAGAACAAGGATAGTAATGGCAGCAGCAAGTTTTATTGCAATAAAGCTTTCTGCCAAATTAAGGCTGGGTAGGTAGTGCTCTAATTCAGCTGAGAAGAAAAGCTGGCATTACCAGCCCTAAGAAGGAACCACTCACTTTACTTCCTTCTTTCCACAATTACATAGTAATTGATGAGTTATTACAGGGCCAGTATTTCTATTCTTATATATTCTAAACATCTGTCTCCACTTCAGTTTTATTCAGAAGATTTCAGCTATCAGCAATTTATGGAAATTCTACCATATTTTTACTACTTCCTAATTTTACTCAAATATTTTGCAAAACCCTGTTAAATGGCAAAATTGATCAGGTCTAGTGGAGCAGAGGAAAGCAAACTGACAAATCTTCTGCAATCACCAATATCACCAATTCAACTAATAACTATTGATTAAACAAAAATATTTGTACCTCTGAAAGTTGCTTTCTTATACGAATCTGACAGCGTGGCTTATCATCAATCTGAAATCTCAACGGGTCAATCCTGCCTCGCCGGTGTCCTCGGGGAACCACTGTCTCCCCACGCAACCAGTAGAAATGTACATCAGGCTGAAAGTCTGAAATAAGAAAATTGTGTCTAATTAAGATGTTCATACAGATGAGAGAGACAACATAGTGCACATATTATTTGAATGTCAATTGTGTAATAAAGGGATCAATATTTTGGACCACACATTAGACAAATGGCCTATAGGGATCCTTATATTAAAATAACATATTCCATACAATTCAGACCTATTTGAACAAACAGTACATCTGGGAACTGCAAACGTGGATCCGATTAGTTTAAATTGGAGGAGCGACACAGAAATATGATTTGCTTTTTCTTTTACTCAGGTCTTTCCGTCTACTTTCTAACTTATAGTCTTATTACTGTTCTGTAGTTTATATTTTACATCTTGACACAGTCTCATCAATAAATACAAGGGCAAATAGGCTGAAAAACAGCTTCTATCCCAGGGCAATAACTATATCGAATTCTATGATATAGTGCAATATCAGGTTTTCAATTTCAATTATATAGAAAATAAAGGATGCTTGTGTTTTTATTTTTATAGTTATAATGTACATTGAAGACAGCATTTAATTTCATTGTACCATGTGCAATGACGATAAAGTAAACTAACTAACTAATAAATGCCATTAACAGCAAATGCTTCAGCCCTTTCGCTCAGAATTGACAGATTTCCTGCGATTCTCAGAATGACATTTTCATTGTTCTTTAAACAAGGACGAAGAGAGACACACCTAGGATGGAAGAGGAACCCAGCGCTGGGTTGAGACAAGTCAGGTGGGCTGCAAGCTTTGGCACCAGGTGGGTAATGAAAGGCGCTGGCCCTTGTTCCCTACCACGGAAGAGTTTGGGGGGCTTCTTGCGCTGGTAATAATACTCCTGAAGGAGCACTTCGCATACAAGGGAGCGGAGCTCAGCCAAATCCAAACCGTCTGTCTTGTCTTCTTCGCTTACTGACACCGAAGCGGGCAGTCCTGGCACAAAGACGGTCTTCGTGAAATGCTGGTACCAGCGATCTGCGTTTAAAGCCCAGGTCTGCGGGTAGACCACGTACTTGCGGCGCTGCCGTTTCCCGTAGATCGCCAATTTCTCCTCAACCGTAGGCGCGTTGTGAATAGTTTTAAAGTATTCCTCCCGGCGCCGGAGTTTGGCTATCTTACTCTTGGCGGTAAGTGAAGCCACCACGGGCGGATAAAGAGAAGCGGGGGAGGCGACGGGGTCGTCCGAAGGCGCCGCAGAGGCCTCGCTGTGCATGAACTGCGGCCCCAATCGAGCCCCTGGCAGCCATCTCCAACTTCTGAAAACTGCCATCTTGCCGGCGCAAAACGGAAGCGGAAAACCCCCACTTCCGCCACCGCTGAAGAATCACGATTGGCCACCTGCGCTCACGTGACCCACTTCTCTCGTGGCCGCCCTTCGTAGGGATATAGGATGGACTCTGGTAGCATGTCGCTGCGCCTGCGCGGTATCACCTGACAGCCTCCCCGTGTCCTCTTTGAATTGCAACGCGGGGAAAGAACGGAAGAGGCGAGTGACGGGCACACATATATAAGGAAGCCCAAAGGCTTTACATTCTAATTATTTGTATATTTTCATGTTGCATCTTTCTTCATAGGGCTACAGGGAGATTACTGGTGTGGTCTATGCTTCCTTAGCTTTGGGAGTAACGTGTGTTAGAGAGACGCCTGTTAAGTTCAGGCTTAAGTTCACGCTTATCCCAAAGGTGCTTTTTTCCCCAAGAAGCAACTGGGCTTCCTTGTTTTTTCTTTGAGGACGTTTCACTTTTCATCCAAGAAGCTTCTTCAGTTCTGACTGAATGTGAGGAATGGAAGGATTTCTATTCTTTGCAGAGAGCTGGTCATTTTACATCCTTTTTGAGGGTTGTTGAAGCACTTGGATGTTTATATGTGTCCTCAGGGTCACTTGAGTAGTGCTAATAGTTACTGTAGTGTGCAGTTTTTTATGGAAATCCAATAGAGTAGAGCAGAACAGAACAGAACAGAATTCTTTATTGGCCGTGTGGTTGACCACAAAAAGAATTTGTCTTTGGTGCATAGGCTTTCAGTGTACATAAAAAGACAAGATACATTAGTCAAGAATCATAATGTACAAATGTAATGATAGTCACAGGGTATAAATAAGCAATCAAGAGGCAATATCAATATAAATTGTAAGGATACAAGCAATAAAGTTACAGTCACGCAGTCATAAGTGGGAGAAGATGGATGATAGGAACGATGAGAAGACAGTAATGCAGCTTTAGTGAATAGTTTGAGAGTAGTGAGGGAATTATTTACAATACAATTCAATAGCAGAGTTGGAAGGGACCGACAGACAGATAAATGGATGGATGGATGGATGGATGGATGGATGGATGNCTATTCCTAATTCTATTCTATTCCATTCCATTCCCTACTTATCTATCTACACACACAATCTGTATAGAAGTAAAGTAATTGAAGATGTTGGTTTGTCTTAGCTGCAGCTCAATGCTTCTCTTGTTGTGACAAGAATTTGACAAGACAAGAATCTGTCTGTATGTTTCTCAGATGAAAAGCTTCTAAAAACTTTTAATACTCAGTTTAGATAGGACTCTCAATCTATTACTTTTCAGCAGTTTCTTGGTCAGTAGCAAGATGTTCTCCTATTGGGGTATTCTTTTGTTTCGGTTTTAGTGATGCAAACCCTCTTTCTGTACAGGAGGCATCTTGCTAAATTCTTGAGTATCTGTTTTGCTCTGAGGCGTCCTGTTTTATAAAAAGTTCTCCAATTGCCAATGATTGCTTGCTTGACATTTCCAAACTTATTCAACAATTAGGCCAAGTCCTATAAAGCACCACTTTTTGGATTAGGACAAATCTTCCAATCTGCTTTCCAGGCGAGATTTCCTGTCCAAGATCATGTGGCAGGAAAGTCTGGGATGAGGAAAGAGGTCAGTCCTAGGCCTGCCGAGAGAGCCAGAGAAATTTGGCTGCATAGCAGCCCTGACTTCCACTGTTTGTTCTACCATGGAGGGGAGATGGAGAAGTCATCTCTAAACACAGATGATTTTGAAAAATAATACAGAAATGGTCACTCACTGACCTTCTAAAATTGGGCCTATGTTATCTTCGATATTTGGAAATGGATGGCTTGTTACAATAATATATCTCACAAGTCTTTTCTTGTTTTTTGTCAGCTCCCTGAACGAACAGGAACCATAGGATTCAATCTTTGCATCCTAGAGCCCACCAGCGATTCTCTCCTTAAGTCCCAAATATCTATTTTCCCCATGATAGGGATGAAGAAGAACAATATGACCTGTTCTGAAATAGCTTTTATCTTTACAGTTAGTTCTCTTAATTGCTGCCTTCACTGTTGATAATGTAATCTACATAAGATTGTCCCTTGTTGTTGTTGTTAGTTGTGAAATTGTGTCCGACCCATTGTGACCCCATGGATAATGTTCCTCCAGGCCTTCCTGTCCTCTTCCATCCTCTGGAGTCCATTTAAGCTCACAGAGACTGCTTTGGTGACTCCATCCAGCCACCTCATTCTCTGTCGCCCCCTTCGTCTTTTGCCCTCAATTGTTCCCAGCATTAGGATCTTCTCCAGTAAGTCCTTCCTTCTCATTAGGTGGCCAAAGTATTTTAGTTTGTCCCTAATGTTGTTTTAATTCTCCTCCCTCTTCTTCACCTATTGCTCCATTCTTGTTTTGTTAACTATCACTGCTTGTTTCTTGGCTCATTGCCGGTTACAATTTTGGCCTGGGACCAAAATACTGTTTGCTCTAGGATACAGTATAAAGATATTTTATTCGTCCAACATAGATTATAGTGCTCACTTCCAGTTGCAAGTGGTAATAGTTATCATTACAAATGTAATGATTCCAGTTTTTAAACTGATTTATTTATTCCAGTTTGTGTGGTTGTTTTTAATTTTGTACACAGGCTAGGGAACTAAAATGAAAATAAGGTACATTATGTATTTGAATGATTAGAATGAATATGCATGCAACCATTTTCTCCAATTATATAGTGTATCTGTTATTACTAGTACCAGTTTTTTTAGAGAGACAGAACAGATTCTAAGCATAGGTCTGTACAACCAGGTTGCTTGGCACAAGTGTAGGCCGTTAATCATTTACCAATGGCAGAAATGCATGAGTTCCTCCCTCTGTCAGTTACCAGCTCTCTTCCACCTGTGCATGAAAAGTAGCCTTTTCTGACTTCTGTCCATTCAAGCAGCAAGGCAAATAATGTGATAACATCAGGAAAAAAAAGATTGGCATTTTATTGACAACAATAAGCAATAGAATATTTTCCTTGTTAAAATCAGATTATGTTTCTTTTGGTGACAGTTATTGGGTGCCCTCTGGTTCTATTCCTATCTGCCACCAATTGTGAATGGCTAGCTTCAAATTACTCTCAGCCCTCTTTAATATAGTAGATCTTGAAGACAGAAAAGTTAAGAACTCCTGCGGTAAAGCATTTATATTTTGCTGTGTTGAAGCTGCCTTCAGTTTTTTTCACAGGATAAATATTCACAGTATAAAATTACTGTGTGTGTGTGTGTGTGTGTGCGCATGCGTGCGTGTGCGTGTATATGCTCTGGTTTCCAACAATTTTTACCCTAACGTGCACAGCAATGGCTCAGTGGTAGCTCTTGAGTCTGTGGGAATAATAATATTTCACTCCAACTTTGAAACACAGAAAATTCTGTCCCAATTTTTTATAACATTACCTTATTCGTATCATTCTGGATTTATCAACAGTTTTCTCCTTTACATTTCCAAATATGATGTCTCAGCACTAAAGAATCTGATAATGCCTGATGGAATTTAAACTCTCTAAATAAACAAGGAAACAGATTAATAAAGTTCTTCAAATTGGAACGATTCTTGAGAACTGGGAAACCTCATGGTGCAAGGTCAACTGCACCTATGAGCTCCATTAATTTCCTTTGAGATCTCTCTCTCTCTCTCTCTCCCTCTCCCCCCCCTCTCTCCTTTTGTCTTAGGTCCTAAGGTGATGTAAACATTGGTCTCCACTTCTGCAGCTCCAGCTCCATTAGGCTCTTCTCTTCCACCCTGCTTTCTGCCAGGGCAAAGACCCCACCCGCTATGCTGCCCAACGAGATGCCTGACCCACCGGGGCTGGCAAACTCTGGTGAATTCTGTACCAGGGTGATGGCATGCATGTCCACAGAGAGGGCTCTGAGTTCCCCCTCTGGCACACATGGCATAGATTCACCACCACTATCTTAGGATGTAACTTGTACTTTTTTTCTTAATTTTTTAAAATTAAAAAACGGATTCCACAAAATTTTACTAATCAGGCAAGTTTAATGATAGCCCTATGCATTACATATGCAATTGCATGCTCAGTCTTAAAAGATAGGAAGGCAAAATATTTTCATTGAAGTGTCATTTTATTTTTTTTCCCCAGAAAATGAGAAGCGTTCTCTGAATATGTCATTTCTTTTCAAATTACAAAAAGGTGAACAAAATGTATAGTAGTTTTCGCATGCTGTCACTTTTGTTTGTGGAATAATTTGAAGCTAAAGAGTAGGAACAGTATTTCATCATTACCATTGTCAAGATTTTATTCTCCAGCTCAGATCTATCTCTTTTTTTCCCCTGCTTTGGACATTCTTACCTAATCCCCATGTTCCTAAATGTGTCTTTGACAGCTTTTTCATTTCTAATTTTTCACATTGCTGAAAAGCTTTTTCTTATGACACAAAACAGCTCAAATATTTGCTCTTTCCTCTTGAAAGGAACAGTGGTTACATAAATTCTAATTTAATGAACATCACTAAACATTCAGTTTTATAATCTAAGAACATTACAGAGTAGGTTTATGACTTGCCAGTTCAATTGATAAAATACTGTAGGTGTTTTTATTTTTTAAAAAAAAATAGAAATAACCAGCCTAGTAGTGTCAATTAGCTATTCATTTGTGAAAGCAAAGGTTCTTAGGATCAGTTATGATGTTTGAAAATAATATAGGTAACATGAAGTAAAATTATAATCCAATTATAGGGTCTTCATGGACACGTAAGTCTGCATTAAAGTATTTAGTCTCTTCTTGCTTAGAATGAGCCATTTGTATGATGACTCTCTAGAGCCACCAAATCAGAGATGGTATTCTGCCGGTTCACCCCGGTTCGGGCAAACCAATAGTGGTGGTGGCAGGAGGCTCCGCCCACCTGCCTAGACATCATCACGGAGAAACTGTGCATGCGCAGAAGTGCCATGCACATGCACACTCCCGGTTCCAAACTGGTAGCGAAGGTAAGGGGATTTTATGCCTGCACCAAATGTCTCAAAAGCCCCACTGAACAGCGT